CTGATTGGTAGATCGTACCTTTGTCCCTTGCCAGAGCAATGATTGGCTTAACCATAGTAGTGGTGCGTGCACTTGTATTGGAGTTAGTAGGTGATGGTTTGTCGTCTGCTGGCTTTCGTACGCATGTTGCGGGCCGGATTTTGTTCATCGAGGGATGACACAATCCAGGCTGGAGGGAGTGCTAGCTAGTAGGGAAGGAAGCCAATCTTGGCCATGCGACTCATCCATTTGGTATTTTTAGCGTGCCTTGGGGTACGCTATCAAGTCTCCCTTATCTTACCCGTAGCAACGTAGGCGTGCTTGGTTGCAATAGACAGGAGTAGCTTTAGGTGATGTGTCTCACTGTGCTTGGTCGCTGTCTTTTCAGCTACACGTTGCAGTGGTTTCCAGCTGTGACATCAGCTGTCATCATTAGGGTTTTCGGTTTTCCCACTCCTCTATATTGGATAAGTATGTCTTTCAGCCGGAGGATGGGGTAAATTGTCCTGGTCAACATGCTAGCTTTATTAATCCGCCGTAGGGTAAAGTTCCTATTTATGTGAAGCATTTCGATGCTCGGTATCGACTTCCGACATCTGACTTCTTCCGAGAGGTTCTCCGTCATCACAAGGTTCACATTAATCAGTTGGTTTGCAATGGTGTGGACAAGGGGGTAGCTTTTGAGATGCCCTGTCGGGCTAATGGGATTAACCCCAAAATCTAGGTTTTTTTGACTTTTTTTTTTCATTTCGCTGCTGCTTCTTCTGGCGAGAGCTATACTTTCACCATTCGAAAACATAGTCATGTCTTGGTGACCGAGCAGAAGAATTCACCCAAGAATTGGGCAAGTCGGTATTATTGGGTCAATGTTGATCGTGTGGCTCATATGGAGCATCCTTCAACCTCCATTTATGATCAGTCTTTTACCTTGTACTCGGATGAGGAGCAGATGGCCCAGGTTCTTCGCTGTTTTCACGTCATTGGTGGTGAGTTTTCAGAGTATGTGCTTGCTAGTGCTGGAATAAGTACCTCGTAGAGGCTTCGCGGGAACATACCATAATTTTATGTTGTTTCCCAAGGTTTGCTATACTTTTCATACCTATTTCTCATCATTTATTCTTCTTGTACATTGTTCTTTTCTTCCTTCTCCTCCCCCATTTATAAAAAGAGAAAGAGGAGTGACATATTTTTTATTGTTCAGGTGTCGAAAAGAGGGTTGATTTCATGGACGTATTGGCTAAGAAATGGGTGGGTAGTCTCCGGTTCCGTGAATTGGATCTTTTTGATAGGGTGTTGCCCTCATTCCCATTTTGCAATGAGGATTTTCTTGCATGTTTATAACACTTGAATCCTGGTATGTTCTTATTTTTCCCTTGTTATAAAAATATTTTCATTTTTGGTCCTTGAGCAGTACGCGGGGCGTACCACTTGGTAAGCTTAGCGTACAAACTGTAAAGCGAGTACGCGGGGCGTACCACTTGGTACGCTTAGCGTACTCATGCCAATGTGGGATGAGACTCCGGGCACGTACGCTGGGCGTACATCCTTGTACGTGGGGCGTACATGCTAGATGTTGAAACCCTAATTTAGGGTGTTGTACCCTATATAAAGGCCTTAAGTCATTAGGGCTGGCCTCTTTACCAACCCCTAAGCCTCCTAAACCCTAGAAATCGTCCCTTAGCCTCCATTGTGGTGTTTTGAGCTCATTGTGTCCATTTTGGTGTGTTTTTCTCCATATTCAAGAAGCTGAAGCTTGGTGCAAGGTGGTGGATCAAGGAAGAGCTTGTGGATCTCGAGTATTTGCTTCATTTCCAACTTGTTTGAGGTAAAAAACTTTGAACTTGATCAATGATGGCTTAGATCTATTATGTATGAGTTTTGGTCCCTTTTTGGCCCATGAATGAGATCTAGTGGTTTGATACCACTCCAGGAGCTTTGAGTTGCCACTCTTGGTGTTTTTGAGGTTCCAGATGCATAAAGTTGCCACCTTTAAGGTTTAGATCCATCCATGCATGAGTTTTTGTCCATTTAATGAAAGTAGAGTGTTATATTTTGAAGTTGGGTTCTCTTGGGGCATCCAAAGTCACTAAGTCAGTGACTTTATGGTTCTAGACGTTTATTAGGACCTAGATCTATGATTTGAGCTTTTGGTCTTAAGCATTAAGTGCTTAATGTGGATATTGGCTTATTGGGCGAGTACGATGGGCGTACAAGTCTGTACGCACGGCGTAAAATCCATTTAGCTAGCACGCTTAGCGTACATGTAACACCAAAAAATTTAAGCCAATTTAAAACTTTCCAAAACATTAAAAACCAATAGTTATTATAGATTTGTTTTCAAAATAGTCTATATCAAAGTTTTCCCAGAAACATAAACAAAACATGAGGAGCTGTACGATCATGCCTTCGCCTTGCCGCGATCCCCCGATGTACCTGAAACAATAAACTAAAACTGTAAGTCCGATAGCTTGCTGAGTTTCCCCCAAAATACCGATACATTGCACATAACCCATATACAAATAACAACATATACTGGGTCCACATCTTTACAGACTGGATTACCCCTTGGGCCCATAGTGTGAGTCTGGATTGCCTTACGGGCCCACATCTCACATCTGGATTGCCACCGAGCCCAGAGTACGAATCTCCCTCAACTCGTATCTGGAATGCTCTCGGGTTTGTTGGTTACCGCACAGAGCAGTATCACCTCAACCTATCTCACATAATATGTCGACATATAACATAACTAATGCACATACAAATAATCATACAAAATCATAGGCAGTCCTACAGATTTACCAGACTAGCATATCAACTGGCATACATAACTAGCTCAAACTCAACATATCAATAACTACTAGAATATCAAACCCAATGGGCCGGCCTTGGTGCCTTAGACCCCTTAGTAAAGTGAGGGTAACTCACCTCACACTGTCGACTCGAAGATAAACTCAAGCTCTCGGATTGCCGACACAAACTCCACCACCTATATTAACCATAGAACCATACTTGTAAATTTCTAATTTCTCGAAGTGCCCCCAGAAGTCCACTGGTCAACCCTTGGTCAAAGTCAAAGTCATTGGTCAAGGTCAACAGTCCAGGTTGACCTCAACTCGTCGAGTACCCTCAGCTACTCGCTGAGTTCCTTGCATAACTCGCCAACTCACCGAGTCACTAGAGTGACTCGTCGAGTTCCTAAGGTTTGCGGCCGTAAACTCCTTGGGCAACTCGTCGAGTTCCCCTTGCGAGCCCACGACAATCTTCATCGGTTGTCGGCAAGTCTATACGTGTCCAAAGGTTGGGAAAACCCTAGCTGACTCGCCGAGTCACTCAACTGACTCGCGAGCCCACGACAATCTTCATCGGACTCGCCGAGTTGACAATGCAACTCGCCGAGTCCCTTCAGTCCTTTATCCATACAGATGCTAAAAGCCATGCTAAGGTTCCAAATTGTAGATCCATCTTCCCAATGCATGTTTATCACGTAAAGTTGCAAACTTTACGTGCATGCAAAGCTCTAAAGTCTTAAAATGACAAAACCAAGCTTATAAAGAAGTCTCACACTTGAAGGAAAGCTCATACTTGTCAAAGCTGATAACTTTATGGACCTAGAGACCAAGAAGAGCTCAGATCTGAAGTTGCAACTTCAGATCTTAGCTCAAACACAAGAAAGGCTTCCAAAGAAAAACACCCAAAAGAGATCTAGGAAGAAATGAGCCAAAATAACAGCTTAATACCTTCAAAAGGGTGCCAACTGAAGTAGATCTCTGATTCCCACGAGTTCCTTACTTCTAATCACTTGTTTTCGCCAAGCTTTTCTCACCAAAAATCTTTCCTCAACGCTTAAATACACGAAAGAAGCATACACACACGAATTAGGGTTTGAAATGTCAAGGGGCTGTAAAGGGGAGGCTGGGGGAGGCCAATGATCCTTTAAATAGGGTGCAAAACCCCGAAAATTAGAGTTTCATCCTCCAGCTCCTACTCGTCGAGTCCCTACTTGGACTCGGCGAGTAGGTCAATTAAACACGCAGACCAACCCGCTGCTACTCAACGAGTCGGGCACCCAACTCGTCGAGTAGGCCTTGAAATCAAGAAAAATCTTATATAAACAAAATCAATACCTGAGAATCGGGACGTTACAGTACAGCTGAGTACGCCCCGTGTACTCAGTCTGTTGGGCTTAGCGTTTTGGGCTTCAAGTTTGGACCATCGTATTGGAATTGGGTGCTTGGGGTCCTGTTGGGCCATCTGAGTACAAGTATTTTAGACCAGGAAAAATTGTTGGGCCTTAGGGTATTGCCCATATAGGGGTTTGGGCCCAATTTGGAAAATTAGGCCATAAGTGGGCCTTGGAGGATCATTTGATTTTGGGCCTTTTTGATTGTGAGTTTGGGCCTTAATCTTGGTTCAAGCTAGGTCAGGGGTAAAATGGTCATTTCACCCCAAGTATGGATTATTGGATATAGACTGGAACCCAAATGTTAATTGGGTGTTTTTGGTTATTGTTAGCTTGGGGATTCGTCGGCTAGCAGCCAGGGATTTCAGTGTGACTCAGCAGTGCGAGGTGAGTTTCTTCACCATATTTAGCGGGTCGAAGTCACCAATGCCGACCCATGATCTGTTCTGTTAGATTACTCGATGCCTGTATGACTCTAGTATATGTATGTGCTTGTGTTACTGGGTGGGGACCGATGATTATCCTGTATGCTTTTATCTGTTATTAGATATGAACTGTATGTGATTAGGGCCCGTTATGCGAGTTAGGACGGGGCCTGTTATGTGTTATATGTTTGGTATGCGGTATCTTGGGGAACTCACTAAGCTTTGTGCTTACGGTTTTCATTTTATGTTTCAGGTACTTCTGGTTCCAAGGGGAAGAGCTCGGGATGACTGCATCGTACACTCCACATGTTTTCTGCTTTTGAGATATTACTCTGATCGATATGATGTTTGATACACTTGTTTTCATTGGGTTGTATGGATAATGTTTTGGGAATACTGTTTTATTTAAATTAAAAATGAAAATTTTGGATCATATTTTTGGGACGTTTCAACGTGCTTCTGCTATCCGGGATGTTGATAGTTGTCATGCTGCTGCAGAGCCTTCTCGATCAACATCTATCGATCATGTGAGTGTGGATGTTGGTATTGAGTCATCTGGATATATGTTGAGTGAGGAGGAGTTTGTGGCTGATAGTAAGGAGGGGGTGCTTCATTTAGTGAACAAACGTAAGGCATCCTGACAAAGTGTGAGTGAGCAAAGCGTTGATGGTCTGGCGCTTGTACGATGTTTACGTCCTCGGAAATTGGCTAAAGAAAGCTCGAATGTTGCCCCTATTCAAAATGAAGTGATTGATATTCCTGATGATGGGAATATGGAGAAGGTTGTTGTTGAAGAAAATGTTGTTGGCCCTGAGCCGGTTATTTGCGATCATTAGAGCATTTGGATGTTAGATTTGAGAAGAGTGACGTGGGGAAAGCGCCTCGTCTCTTGCATTTTGGGCATGTCAAGTCTCCATTGGTCGGTGATAGTGAAGTTAGGGATTCAAGTGGGGTAGCATTTGCCCCTGCTTGGTCTTTGAAGGGTGACTCGCGCCTTTCCTTGTTTGAGTCTGCAGTTGATTTTGCCAAAAATGCGTTTCCGCATGATACTCGATCCGAAATGGCTAATATTTCCCTTTCTGACCTTATTGGGTCATTTCGTTTTACTACAGCGCAGAGTGCGACCTTTTTTGCTGAGGTTGCTAACCGCCTCGAGCGGTTCCTGGCTGTGGATGACGACCTCGCCCGTATGGTTGGGGAAATGCAGCTGCTCCACTTGGAGAATGCGGTGTTGTAGAAGAAAGTGTCTAACTGTGAAAAATATGTGTTGCAGCTTGGTGTTTGTCACACCCCAAACCGGAACGGCGGAAACGTTCGGGGGTGGTTGACGTCACGCGTAGTATCACAACATTTGTATCATAGCAAGCATAGTAAACACAACCAGACATTGAATACATATATGAAAAAGGTTTACATTGTTTGATACATAGTTTTGTTCATGACAAAAGTAAAATCGAAAGACGTGACTCTAACGCGCCGACTTCTCCAAAAGTTTTGGAAGTACTTGTCTACTAAATCCCTGAGAATACAAGCAGTTTTGAAAGAATATATCAGCATAAAGCTGGTGAGTTCATAAGCATTTGGTTTTGGTGGAAAATGTTCTTTGATTCTTTTGAAAAGTGTTCCTCAAGAAAATCCTATATTTTCTTATGAAAA